ACTGTGGTGTATGTGTGCAGTGTAAACACACAGAAGGCTTAGACGGTTTTTAACTCTGTAGCTATACCTCACAATCCACCACTTGAAAATGCACTGGGCAAGATGTACTCTTTTCTAGCTGAAAAGTAGAGACATGCAGCAGTATACAGATACATTAGGTTAACTTTTTCTTTTAGATCCTGTTCACACCTAGACATTGGTGTTTTTAGGAGTTTAAAAAGAAATACATTTATGAGTGTTTTTACACGCATTTGTGCGTGTCTTTGAAGCATTTTGCAGGCGTTTTCCTATTTGGCTCAATGGAAAGCAGTAGCATCTGTGACCAAAAACCACACCAAAAAAACTCTAGAAGAAAATGCTTGTGACAGGCGTTTTAAGGCATTCCCATTGAAGTCTATGGAGTCAAAAACAATTGGAGGTTGATTTACTAACCTTATAAACACGCCACGAACAAGTATACACCTCTGTAGTGTGTTCCCTCCCAGCATGATCTATTGGTGGAATCTAGACACCTTTGTAGTGTGTACACAGTGTGTGTAGTGTGTGTAGTGTGTTGTGCAAAGCCCTGCATGAATTGCAAGGTGATGTTGTGTAAATTAGCTCTACATTGTGTTGCTTGCGTTGATGAATGCAGGAATGTAAATGCATGAGCTAACCATTTTTGTCTAAACTGTGAAGCAGCATTATATATGCATCATGTGCATGATTTTTCCATATATGGCATTAGTGGAAATATGCTTTTAGAGACTTTTTGGTTGATAAATACGTTTTGCTGCGTAAAAATCACACGCACCTAGTGCGTACGTGTGTTTAGGTTAGTAAATCACCCCCTTTGTGTTGAGCATTTTATAGCTTTGAGCTAGAAAAACACCTAAATGTGCATTTCCACTTTTGCAGTCATATTTGAGAAAAATCTTCTATATTTTTGTTATGTGTTCCTACTCACACAGCTTACTGCAAAATAATTTCTAAAAATAATTTCTTATCCTTTAGCTCAGTGGTTCTCAACTGGTGGGTCGCGACCCAAAAGTGGGTCGCAACCCTGTGTTCAAGTGGGTCACTGCGTGCCTTCCACTGTGCTAGGTGAGAGGCTCCTCAGCTTCCCCTTAGCACAGCACTGTCAGTTCTCGCACCGAGCAGCCTTTCTAAGTGTCAGGTTGAGGTGGGGCAGAGTGGGGGTATGGCCGTAAGGGAGCTCCATCCATATGTGCATTGCTCACAGCTCCCTCAAATGCCCTGTAGAGGTGTCTGGGCCAGAGTGACGTAACATTCTGGCTCCCGGCACCTCTACAGGGTGCACAAGGGGGTTGTACAAGAAATGCACATATGTATGGAGCTCCATCACAACCCAGCAGCCCACCCTGGACCCCAAACTGGGAATCCGCTCCAGTTCTCATAAGGTAGGAAGACTGGATGGATCTTAAAAGAAAAAATAATTTTTTGGAGTGTGTGTGAGAATGTGTCTGTAGTTGTATGTGCCTTTTGGTGTTTTTGAGGGCTTGATCACATTAGTACAGTGCGTTAATCTTACAGTCCCGTGTGATTAACACACTGTACCATGCAATCACACCTTCCACTCGTTCTGGTGTAGGAGGTGCGTTGCATTGGCATTCATTTAAATGGCACCCCACATGCACCTCTCACAGTTCAATCGCCCATAACAGAGCACGGAGTACCGCAATGCAATGCGTTCCAGTCTGGTGCTACTTGGGTCGCGAATTAATGAACAAGGACAAGCGACAGGAAACTCTGACTGTCCCCAAAGACTAGGACAGACTGAGCTTCTCTTCATTGACATACCATGCTTCTAGAATTTTAGGAGTGTTTAAAACTGGATTACAAGTGATAATGAGATCTGCCAGCACAGTACAGACAGGGTTAATTAGGTTCATTAACCTACTCTGTCCCCCTTACATTCCAGAGCAAACCTCAGTGCAGAGAACAACTTTGCTTTCAGAATATGTGTTGTTAACAGGGGTTATCTCAAATTGGCTTCAAAAGTGGAAATATATTTTAATTAGTCACAAAGTCAATCAATATTTTCTTATACCCTTTACTGTTTGATTGGTCAATAGGTAAGAGTACTAAACTTTAATGTTAACAGTAGTGTATAACCGATGGAATAATCAGGTCTACAGCTCTGCAAAGATTTGTAATCTGCATTAAACTGTCATACGAATTTTGTAGTGCACTGGCTCATGGCAGTTTTGGATCTGCATTATATTGCCATCAGAGATTAAAAGTTGCCTGGGATTTTGCATAAGCATAATACACCTGCAAGAGATTTGCGAGCAGATCCATGCCGTTTCCAGAGCTCTGAAGTCTGCATTATATCGCTTTCACCGATGTGTGGCCAGCTGGAGCAGCCACAGGAAATTTTAAACATGTCATATGACATTTGGGCATCACTTTGTACAGCAACCAGGTTTGGAGTACTGCATTGTACACTAAAAATAGATGTGTTGTGTGCATTGTTTAGCAACACTACTTTATTTAGTAATTATCAAAGTTAGGGGCCTTTGGACTGTAATATCGACCCTTATAAGCGAAGATTACTTTCAGAATAGTAGAAATACGAGAATAATTCTTACAGTATGGTTGGACACTTTAATGCCTAGTTCACACAGGCTTCAGCTTGTATAAGAACAGCAAATTTTTACAGAGCTTTCGGCAAGCTCTGTTGAAGCTATAAAGCATCAATCAGCTCTAGTTTGAGAATGTTAAACACAGATCTTTATGGGGAGTGCTGACCGTCACTTTAAAACAAGCTACTAGCAGGATTTAGTAAGCTTCAGCGCAACTTGAAGCTTGTTGAAAGCCTGCTACCAGCTAATTTGAAGTGAAAGTCAGCATTCCTATTAATATCTGTGTTTAACATTACCAACCTGTAGGTGAAGGGTACTTTAAAGACTTCAAGAAAACTGCTTGAAGCTTGCCAAAAACTTGATGTACCCACTGCTTTGATACAAGCTAAAGCCTGATTGAACTTGTCCTAGCATATGTATTCCCAAGAAAAGACTCCACTTCTATTGAGAAAGAAAACATCGACTCTGGGTTGAATGAAAAACCATAAATTGGAGGTTCTTCTTCTTCATGGACCATGAAGACTGAAACATGCATTCCAGTGACTTCCTCCAATGTGTGTGCCAAGTGGGATGGTCTGCGCCTGTTGGGTGGGGGAGTCTCAATTTTCGTGGTTAGAAGGAAGCAACCTTTGAATATTTTTGAAAATTCAAGACAATGATGATATCTGGTCAGAGATTCATATTAAAATGTAATAACGTAATAATAAAAAGATAAGGTTTAATAACACTAAATCACTATATGAAATTCTCACAATATTGGAATTTCCCTTTTCAGAAAGCAATATTTTATCACAATTCCTTCAATTGGACATACAGACAAGAGTGGGGTTACCACAAGAAACAGCAGAGACAAATGTCAGTGTGTTTAAATAAACAAAATTAAAGAAAACAGATATATGACCTTTTTGTCACATATTTTAATTATGAATATAATAAAATCAAAGTAAACATTTAGTTGTACACCATCGTCCCAATGATTTCAAAAAAACAATAAATAACAGAATATTTTTTGCAGCCACATGTCTACAGAAAGCACGCTCAAAACCGATTCCTATCATAAATAATGTATTTATTGCATATGGCTATTAAGACAGCATCCAAGATCAATAAAGACTAAATATAATGCACTACCCTAGTTTTGTTTATCCATGTCTCCAGCAGCATCATATATATTTCTCTCACATAACATACACCCACACACGCCATGTCCATCGGAAGACACTGCAAGATAAGTTAGGTCTCTTGTCATACCATAACTGTAAGAAATATATTTAACATCTTGATATTCAGAAACAAATATGTACTCAGTAAATAAAGGATAAAATACTGTTTGAGAACTTTAAGTTTTACAATATCAAAATATTTTAAAATTAAGGACTGTGGGCAAAAATGCACAAAGATTTAAATATACATCGTAGTATTTCTGCAAAACCTGTACATTTTGGTTGTTCCTTTGTAAACTAAACTTCAGATTTAAATATTGCATATGCCTCATGTGAAATTTACAGAGCCGAGCCAGGTTTTAGTATATGTTGCTCAACCATTAGTATGACTTGTAATTCAATACTACTGAGACATTTCTCCTATAGGTCTATATTTTCATAATAAATCAAATATTGTACTCAGCAGGTAACAACGTTCAGTGCCGTATGTTTCTTAAGGTAGCAAATATTAATTATATTTGGATTTGAAGACTAAGCCAAAATATTTGTGAAAGTTTTACATTTTTTACAATATATTAATTTATAAAAGTACACTGTACATGTTTTAACAGACTCGTTCTCTTAATGGTCTGTGCATTACTCTATAAAGCGACACTTCCCCCTGCCCTCAAGAATTCAACTACAAAAAGGAGATATAGAAAAAGATATGAATTTACATTCACTCTTGTCTGGAAATACAATCCTTATTAATAAGACGTTTTGTTGTGTTAGCAGGAAGACGTGGTGTTTTTAAAATACATTTCATCTGAATCCATTGTTCTGAGCCAAGAAAATGATTTTGCTGTTTAGGAGATGAACAGATGGGTATATATGTTGGGGACACCAGTTCTCCATTTGCTATAGTTCTGGGAGCCAAAACCATTCAGGTTGCCAATGGAGGCCTTTCACAGAATGACCTTTGGACCCCCCCAAAATGGTTATAGTACTCAAGTAGATGTCATAATGCACTGCACCTCTTGCTTACTAGATGCCCACCACCATTTGCGGCTTTGATATGACCTACTGTAAAAGCAAGCATTTAGCAAGATTAAGAAGAAATGATTTTCAGTGAAGTCCAAGAAACAAAGAGTCCATTTGATAAAATGTCTTGATTCTTTTTTTTTTGCTTGTACCAAAAAAAAAAAAGTATTTTTAAAAGTAAAATAGAAAGGCCATCAAATATTCTTACTTCAGATAACGCAGTATGAGAAGAGTAACTTCGTAATGTTAAACATATCCCCCAACAGTTTGAAATCTAAAACCAGGACATTTTAGGGCCCTGCTCTGCTCATTCCAATTGTGATCATTTTGCAAAACTCTTGCATCTTCAAGACCCTCCCACCAACACATGAGTTGGGTAACATGGAGCTGAGTGCCGTGCAATCTTTCTGGTATACTTTCAATGATTAGGCTTGAAAAATTAAAATTTCCACCTCAAAGGGGCACATGGCACTCAGGGAACATTACTAGAGCAACTGCTCAGCCAGGAAGAGCTGTACCGTAAGGCTAGCCTATTAACTGCAGTGTTGTTACAGCACATTACTTAGGATGAATATTCCATAAGGTGACATTTTTTGGTTAAGCACAATGCAGTTGTGTGTGCGTGTAATACAATCAACGTTAAAATTAAAAGTACCTTAAAAAAATACCTAAAAACATAAGTTTTCAATACATGTCAATAGTAGTAATATTGTATCAACACGTAAAATCTCTTGTTAAAAACGTACATACATTTTGAATGTCAGTAATAAAAAGCAAACAGAAAAAAAAAAAATCACCAGTCTCAGCCTGTGGCTTGTGTAGATACAGTAATCTGCTGAATCAAACTGTAAGGAGTCAAATGAAGCTCTATGTAACCGTGTAGTTCATGCGTCTAACAGCTTAAGAGAATAAAACAAGTCAGTCACATTTTTGGTCCACATCTAAAAAGAGAAAATGCAAACGTGCACGACTGCATTATGTTAGAGTTGCCATGTCACTTGGTGTCATGAGGTTTCCAAGTAAACTGCACAGCCAATAATTTTGATTCAATAAACAAATGTTCTTTCAAATGTAGAATAAGGCCGAACACTTCTTCAGTAACATCATTGCACAATGAAAATCAAACACATTACCATCCCTTAATTTATTATTTTCTTTGATTCATGAGGTAGGGCTAACAGTACCTTTGTCTCACAATTTGGGTAATGTTACTGTCTTAGGTGACGTCCCAGCCTACAGAAGAATAAATAAGAAAAGTTGAAGGCCTCGTCATTCCTTGTATGTTGGTGGGGTTTTTCATAATGTCCAAAATGAAAATGATAGACTGTAAATAATGCCATCCAAATAGATCAAGTCTGTCTTGGTAGCTGTCTGGCACGCATCCTCCACAATTTATACCTGAGCGGAAACCAATCAGACCACACTAGCGGAAAGAGGGAGACTTTAGCAGCATCTGGTCACAAAATAGGCCCAAGGATCTTTTCTTTAGTGTATTAAAGTTTGGGACCAGTACCTTCACTCTGAAAAACAGAAGAAACACAAAAATCATTAGATACTGTATGTGATGGTAGTTGTTTATTTTTAAAAGGAGAACTCAACTTTTGCTTTAAAAAAAAAGTGATAAACCTAATTGATACACAATGCTTTCTAGTTTCATCTGTAGAAAGCCATGATGTTCTGTGCACCAGCAGTATACAGAACTGTAGAGGCATAACTTCCTGCTCATATAATTGTTTCCCTGCTTATTCACTTAACACTAGGACTGATCCTGTGACTATGGCAAAACACTAGGACTGATCCTGTGACTATGGCAAGAAGATCTTGCCACTCAGGAGGTAGCTGCATGAAGGTTGAAGTAAGAGGAATCCATGTGGAAATTTCAACCCAAGCAATTGAATTCTATGACAACAGGTATTTTTAATCAACAGGAACTTTGTAGTGACACTCACCAATATCTTTGCAATTTATATTTTTCACTTTAACAGTTTAACAGTGAAGCTATACTTTAAATATAATGTCACAACATTCAGAAACAGTAGACCTGGAAGTGTGGTGAAGCCAGCTAAGCTCGGCTTAGCAAGGGATGTGTTTGGGTGAAACTATTCTTAGTATTAAAATGGTAATAATAATAATACTAATATTTACAGGTGATATAATAAGACTGAATGCAGGTTACAGAAATATGGATGGTACAGAAACGAATGATTTGTGGTCACACAAATGCAAATAAAGACCTGCATAGCCAGATGACCCATGGTCAGATCAAACAATCTGTGCATGCTTGAAGCAACCAATCGCTGTATGGGAGCACTGTGACAAACAAACTCCTGAACATTTACCTCAGATTAAAACCAATAACTGACAACCCTTTCCAATTTATCAACAATCACTTTAGGTTAGGCCCAACAAATGATAACCTGCCACCACAGATTTTCCTCCATGCTAGATCCCATTTACTCTGCCTTCCAGCACCATTTTCACACAAGATATGTATGAGTACAGTAAACTATTCAGACTTCAGAGAAGGCATCTTTAATTCACACAACAGAAGCCACTTGTTATTCAATAGTTTATTCTTCTAAAATGAAGGTAAAGAAAATAGAAGCTTCCTTCATAAACCTCATTCCACTGAAAATGTAAAAGGAACATGTTATACTGGTTTATTCTGAAGTCAAGTAAGCATGTAAATTACACTTCACTAGAAACACTGAAAATATTTGTTTCTCTAAAGTACTTTCCAGAAGTGTATTCCAGAAGTGTATTTGAATTATTCACCTGTGATCAGGTTACAGCACGCAAAGCAGTGGCATGCCTCATATGAACCTCTACATTGCTAATCCACTAAGAAATCACAATACCGGTGTTGTGCTTTCATCTGCCTGACAGTATACAACCAGCAAAAAGAGTACAGAGGTATTTGCTACTACACTTCCAACTGTCCTCTGCCATCTGCTCTTAGGTAGCCCTTTTAAGAAAGAAAATAGAGTAAAGTCCACTTTAACTGGTATGCAGTCAATAGGAGTACAAAGGGTTAAGGTGATTCCCCTGTGTTCTTGCTATCAGGCACAGGTCTGAACAGCTGCCTATTGCTTTAGCCCATCTGTCACAGAGGAAAATAAGGAAATTCCTGCTTCCTGTCTGACTTCTGTTTTCATAAGGACTAAAAGATAAAGTTTGTCAAAGGAGTTTGTTCCACTACTTGTTTCTGCTTACATTACTACACACTTGAATGTAGACAGAATACATTTCTAGGTAATAAATTAGTGTGAGGTTGACTTAATATGTCCTAAGTCAATATCGCATCAATTTTCGCATCATATCCATCTCTGATGACGTGGGAAAGCCTCTATACTCATCATAACTCGGGCACAACTTGGAACAGTTGATAACTGTTGCCTTTGCTTTGTGTGCATAAGGAGATTCCCTCAAACAAAAAGGCAAGCAAAAGGCTGAACTACCTACGTGAATGGAAATACCATTATGTAAACATAGCATTTATAAGCGTTTATAGCTGACCTGGCTGAGGCATCATCCTATTTGGAAAGAACATCCTTCTTTGTAATATTTAAGTTGTGACCTTCTGCTGATGTACGCATTTCTTTTTGCGGCTATGAAACCAATAGACGAGTATAAACACCCACACTGACTTTTTTTTCCCAAAAGGACATTGAACAAAGTGCATACTGTAACCCATAACAACCAATCAGATCTCTCATTTCTGTGACTACACTAATATTATTATATATA